TGTGTGTGTGTGTGTGTGTATGTATAATGACGCGCGCCCATCACATAGCAGTTATAATGTCAGTGGATTAAATTTTCTTTATCCAAAATTATTCGTCTAAAGTAAACCTTATAGAAATAATTTATAATTTGCTGATCAATTCAAGTTGCTCGAATCAATCAATTATGTTCGAATCTTTGAATAATCTCAGTAGAAATAAAATTATGCAATATTTGTATTCTTTCTCGGTTATTTATTTTAGAAGTATAAATATTACATACGTATATAAAATAAATATGTTTATATTAAGTAGATTCCACAAGAATATTGCTCGCAATTACACGATCATAGCAAGCCCATAGTATAAATGTAAATAGTGCATATAAATACAAAATATACACAGTATATGTAGAGATCGTGCGTTTCTTACTTTAATTTTTATATTACGAAAGGTATGATTTTTCAAGTTATTTAATTTTAAATAAGACATAATTTGAATGACATCTAATGAGCAATTTCGCAGTTTTGTCTGAAAATCAATGATTGTTTTGTAAAAGTTAACATAAAGTATGTGAATGCTACAACTTTATAAAAATATATAACATATATATTAAATGTTATAAAATATTTTTCGGCACTTTTTCGATACTTGCCAAGTATTGAACGTTGTCTGGCAGTCAAAATTCGTTGTACATCTTTCATTAATTTAATAAAACAAAGTTCCCAAAACATGCTTTGCTCGTAAACGTTTTGCTTGTTTTCTCTTTTTAATAACAAAGTCGCACATTTCTTTGATCGTTTAGATCCCTCTATAAGTACGAAGAGCGATGATTGTGCTGAAGAGATACAAAACCGTATTTACCAGACCGCAAATCTAGAAAACAATTAAACGTTATATTTATAATAAGATCTGATATAACTTAAATATAAATTTAATTGCAATATGTATTTAAATAACCTAAATCCGGCAAACTTTATTTTACAATTTTGACATTCGTTAAGAAAAAATTTACTATAAATTGTTAAAATTATTAAAATTCTACAGATGAAAGATGGTTTTATCAGTCTTATGGCATTCCATAACACAACAAATTGACTATCCAAATTAAATATTATTATATGTCATAATTTTATCTTTTTACGAATATAACTTTGTACTTACGGAAGCACCTAATAACAGCTCATAATTATAACGCCTATAGTTATTGACGTTCACCATGAGTGTCAACGAGGCCGCAAGTAACAATCCAAATGCAATGGAATGATAAAGGATTTCCTGAAAGTTCAAAGAACTTCAATCAATATAGCGTTCATAATCAATTATTATGTAAATATCCTTTCTTAATTCTCATACTTTCAATATTATTTAAATCAATTTTAACACTAAGAATAATTTTCTCTCGTTTTACAAACACGGATATTTACTTACATGTAATATAATAAATTATATTTAATAATTAATTACATACAATTTAAATAATACCTATAAATATAAAAATACAATTTTACATATACATCTGTTTTATTTTTGTACTTACATGAATAGTTTTAGATATAATAGATGCAGTAGAGAAAGATGTCAGACAACTGAGAAGAAGGATGAAAGTGGCAATCATAAAAGTAGTCGTTATGAGAAGAAAAAAAAGTTCTGCAGTGATTCGATAAGAGTTTTGACTAAATTCGTGACCTGCGATTCCTACGCAAACTATGCCCAGCGCCTGTTCGAAAAAAAAAACAAAAAAAATATTTCCGATTAGAGAGATACCTCTCATGTAACAATTAACAAGGTGTGAGATATAATTATTATTACTAGCACAAGGTAAAAATATCTGCTGCAGTCGCTGCAGATATTATTATCGTGGCAATTAAGTATATCCGATTGCAATGGAAAACGGAAATACTGTTGATGATAAGAATGCTATTTTAAGATTACAAGAATGGCTAAATAACTTTCGTAACTGTGTGCTACAAATTAACAGTAATATTAATTCTTTTATTCACATATTTATCGTAATTAAGAACAACAAAAGTTGCAAAATTTTTGTATTTTTATACTTAAAATTATTGTCCTATGTTTTTGTTAAAAAATTATCGCTACTGTCAACAATTAATTTAAAAAAAATAACGTTTTGCATTTAAAAATAACGATAAATAAAGAAATATATCAATAATAATCCGAGTAGAAAATAAATAAATGGAATAACAATGAAAAACATACCAATTGTAGTAATTTTAAAATACCACTCCAAGTTTTCAAGTAGCCAGTGTTGATGACAATTGTGGAGCTGCTCGTCACTGTTTGCGTTCTAATCGTCACTGAATGGGACATCGTCGCCTCGTTTTAATATCAGTTTCTGAAACCGAAGATGATTGTTCTCCGTTGCCCATCGTTATTTATAAAGATTCCATTCAATATGCGTAAGTGGGAACATTTACGTGCAGCGTCAAGTAGGACAAGGTCAAGATTTCGAGACGTGACCTACATCGGACAAAAATCCTCGTTGTTTCTCCATGAAATCGAAAGTATCTTCATTTTCTCTCGAAATTCATAATTTGTATCTTTGTAAAACTTTGTATATACATATAATCATATATGAGTAATTAAAAAATCTGACTCGTAAAAAATAAGTAGACATTTTTCAAAAACATTTTGATCTCGACGATAAAGAAATTGACTTGATATTTTAATTGTGTGATTCATGAATGAAACAATGGATGAAACATAAAAACATTCTCATTGCAAAGCATCCTTTGATGGTCCAAAATATCCTGACACACCCTTTAAGCTTGCCCGATCAATAGTGTGCGTGGAGACCTTCGAATTTACTTTCTCGCATTGAAGAGACGCCATAAGTACAATAACAAGGAAAGTGTTTTAATTCTAAGTGCTGACTTGTGCAATTTTTATTAAATTCCACTTTATCAAATTGAATTATATGTTGATAAAATTAGCAATAATATATTCTACGGATTAATATATAATTTTATATGCATATAATTTGATAATTATTATAACTATACATGCATCTTTATTTAAATAACAAACAAATCGAATTTAATGTATGATTTTAAGCCTGCAATTTTTCTCTTATTGTAAAAAGTATTTTTGTTAATATCATATTTCTCTGATAAGGAAAGTAAAAAGTTTATAATAAGACAATAAAAAACTCCATTAAAATAAGTATTTTCTATTTCGTTTCTATCAATTTGTCGTAATTAATTATTCAAGTATTTATAAATAAATTTCATTAAAAAATATAAAGTACTAGATAAATATAAAATAAATAATTTTTATGCAGAATAGCGATTCATTTATCTTAAATAAATATGAATGTGTATAAATATGGATGTATAACAAATATTTTTAAAAATGTTAAAAAAAATTATACATCAGAGATAACATTAAAAAATAATTATGTATTTCGTAAATAAACAATGAATATTAAATATTCAGAATATTTAACTTGTAATCAGAATATATGGTTCTGTGTACCTTTTAAAAAAATTACGTGTGCAATCCTCGAATTTCAAAATAACTTAGAAAAATCTACACGTGTACGTAAAAAAAAAAATTTACAAGTTTATACTAAAGACAAGACAGATAACGATTTATCCTACGATACTGAGAAATATTGAAGTCAGTGATACGAAAATTTGGCATCGCGGAAATTGAGAAGTGCGCCCGCGCTCGCGCCCGCGCTCCAAACTGACAAACGCCCGCTTACGCAGTCATGGGTTATTTTTAAGTATCCAGAATACACACGTAAGACGTAAAGTTGGAAATTTATCGCTGCCGTCGATTAGAAATGAATCTGTCATCCGATAAATCCACGCTTAATGGTTTCCTCGGAAAGATTCCGTGAAGTATGGTCACCGATTATATTTTATAGTAATAAAATTCTTCACCCATATTTTTAAAATAATAAATTTATTCTACAAATTACTCGATTTATTTATATCAAATTAGGTCGTGTCTCTTACTACTTTTCACGGAATCGCGCGAGAAAAATTGAATTATATGATACATTGGCTGCGTTTAGCAGAAAAAGCAGCTTTGCAATTGTTGTGAGATTCTTTAATATGATTGATTTATATATTTTAATCCAGAGAGGAACTAAGGACCAATTATATCAAAAAATCTTACAACAGTTGCAAAGTTGTTTTTTCTGCTGAACGCAACAATTTAACATGCAAATCGTGCATTAATTATAATATCAAAAAATATGCTGATCGCGTGAACTGCGCGAATTCTTCTATCAAACAACATACTCAAAAAATACACGAATTGGATTCAGTAAATGCCCGAATAAAAAATGCCCGTTAAACTTACTTGATAGTGTAAGAAACTACGATAGCGCTGCAATATATTTGCATAACAATAAGTTAATTTCGATTGTAATTATTATCGACTTATTGTAATCTTCAAATATTACGCGTTTATTTTTTCCATGTCAAATTATTTTATTTATTGCAAACAAATAATTATTCAACGTGTAATTGAGCGGAAAACTATTTGACGCGTGCGACCGAATAAATAATTAACCAGAATGCGTGCTTTAATCGGGAATGACATAAGAATCGCGCACGCTATGTGCGTGGACTGCACTAACCTGAAGAAAACACGTTGTTGCCCATCGGCCGTCAGCGACTGACTGGAGCGTTGCGTTTTGAGCGCGGTACCAAAGGATGACGTCACCCTGATGATATCATACGTCCATACATTTTTAGACGATACGTGTGGTATTATAATCAATGTAAATACATCGCGATGCTTAACAGAGTAACATAAATGAACATATCGGAGATCATCTTTTTGACGGAAAATAATAAAACAAAGAATATGAAAGCGTGATATAGCGTCAAGTATTATTCACAACGACATGCCTATATGTGATGCATCGATCAATTTGCGTCTCTGCGTATCTTTATGTTATTCTCTTTGCATTCATATTCAGCATGTGTAAAATAAAAATAGAAATCGTCTATAATTGTCTATAAATATTATAAAATATACAAAAATTAAACATGAAACAAATAAGGAAAAATGATAAAATTTAAATTTAAATGGAACGATAAAAAAAACTGTGAATTCGATACGTCCATGCTGGCAACAATAAAGAAAACATATGCTTAATATGTTGGCTTTTAATTTTATTTTATTTATATATAGCATCCATAGCTTAAAAATAAATAAACTTCGAAAATTAAAAAAAAAATGAACGCAGATATATATATTATGTATATATCATCGCGCGCATGTAAGTCAATTACGATACGCGCGGCAAATAGTGCTACATATAAACGAATATAAACAATGTTGAGATAAACAATTTTTCCAAGATATGTAAATGCGTAAGTGTCGACCTTGCTTGAACTGAGAAATAACGAATGAGTGGGAGAAACAAGAGTAAGCGAATGTGCATCCTCTCAACGCTGAATGAAGAAGAGTGGCACAATCTTAATCGCAAGCGTAATGTCCACTTTTAGCTTCAGTTTAATCGCGTCGATGCCACAACGTGGCAATAATGATCCGCGAATGCTGTTGAGGGACACGGCACTTTCTGAACTCCTGCATAGATATAACAAAAAAAACCATAACGGAAAAAAAAACGATAAATCGAGTTGTAAACTATATCCATAACCGATTCCGTCGAGACAGACAGTCTCCCTTAATCCATACAAAGTTAACAAGTATACGATTTACATGAGACATGGATGAGAATGTAAAAAGAAATTACACTGTATCCGATCTAAAGAGGATATGTATATATAATATATATACCTATGTCATATCTATATATATTATGTATAAAGAAATATATATATGTGTGTATATAAATAAGATCTCGCGAGAGTGCGCAAGGGTACGGTTAGAAAATAACGTTTCACGCACTTATATCTATTGCACGAGAAGTTAATCCATTGGGACAGTCAGAAGCGAACTGATGTTTCTCATAATTGCCGGCGAAGATTATCCATTGCAGACTCCACTGTAGCATTAGATTATGAAGCACCGAGTCTTTGTAGATTGAATTGTACTGATTGAAAGCCCTCCGGAAACTTACCGTACACTGATATATTATAAAATCTCTTAAAACTATTTATCTTGTCGTTTGCCAAAGGATTATTACGATCGAAGTGATAATACAAACGAAATAACGCCAGTCTCATGTGTAATTTTACAGAATTATATTATATATATATAGAATCTGTATGTGATATTAAATACGATAGAAAGATATGCAATCTACGTGAGATGATAAAATTTCTCAATTAAAATTTTGAAGTAACTAATATAAAAACAAAGAGATGATGTTGTGGAAAACTAAATTATAAATATTTTCAGCTATTAAATATAATTTAGCTTATATCATCTATATCCAAAGATACATATTTATTTCTTTATTAACAAACAGGTTAAATATATAATATTAAAAAAACTCATTTCGCGAGATTAGCAGAAGTTTCGTGTAAAAAGAATCATTTGATTTTATTTCTTGAATTACTTCTGTTATAATTTCAAGTAAATTTACACGATCTCGCGTAGACTTTGTGAACATTTATTGTCTTCGGGCAGGTATCTCGAATGTAGCACTCCGTTCGCTCCTGCGACTTCGTTTTTAACTCCTCGATGCAGCACCGAGTTTCGCTCTAGCGACGACGATCACGACAAGTAACTAATCTTAAGGCACGTAGGTACAGAGTTTTTCTTTTTTAAGCTACACACGATCTGAGGAGGATCACGCCGGACTAGTTTCAAGCCATCCCTCTCAGCGCTGACTTTCTTGTCGAGCACGATCTTGGGGCCGTGCCAAAATTTCCTTGGACGGACGCTGAGAAGTCGCGGGTCTGGTCGCGGCAATTGCTGTTGTTGTTGTTGTTGTTGCATGCTCTTCAGGTACCTGGCTTATCCTCTGTAGGCCGACGGTAGATGCTCATTGCGTGTTAGTGCTCTTCCATTCGACATATAGGAAATAAGCCCCGGCGGCGTATGCGATAGTATTGAAGATTCCAAATACCTGTAACATGTGTTAACATTGATTGTGTTTTAACAACAACGACGATTATTGTTTTCAATTTTTAAAAATGTCATAATAGCGAGCCTTACCCCACCAGCGATATTCGCTGATGAATGTCTCAATGCACTCCAAGCCGATAGCTGAGCGATGAATGCGATCATGTAAAGCACGGCTTTTATAGCTGTATTTAGAAGTTCCTGGAAAATATAATTTTTTTTTTTCGTAAACACGTATCACATCCTAAACTTAATTTTAATGATAAATATTCACATGTGTAAAAAATCAAAATAAAATTGAAGAAAAATTTTCACAAAAATATTAATTCAGATACGAGTGATGTCGCAAATTTTCATCAATGTACATCAATTCTTTAAAGACTTCGAGAAGCCAAATCATTTATTCTGAAATTTAAATAGACTAAATGTTACAATTCCAAGCAATGCATAAATAAATCGTAAAATAGTAACTTACAAAGCAATCGTAAGAAGCTGCGTTATACTTTTATGTAAACTGCAATTCTATACCAGTATTTATATTGCCGATTGCCATAGAGGAAGAGTGAATAATTTTATTGACAGTTACTTGTATATTGAGCTATCATTTGAATGATACAAAGGAAAATTATCAAATTATTTAAAGTATAAAAAATTCTGATTGTATATGTATACATATACATATCTTTTTACCATACACATGTGATTTCTAAAAAATTGATTGATTGCATGATATTAATAGTTAATATATTTTTTGTATTACTATTCTCCCTCTATTAAAATTTAATATATAATATGTTAATATTTGATTTATTATATACGTATAATAACAGTACTTTCTGAAAATATTTGTTAAATTAAAGAACTACAATTTTGCATAGACCGCTTCGTGTTAGCCATAAAATTTACGAGAAATCATAGATATTTACAAATGATCGTCTTACGGTACGTACAGAATTGCAGTTCCAGGTCATAAGTTCTTATGAATCTTACAAAAACAAGTTACAAGTCTTACGGTTCTATCTAAAATTGCAGCATAAATGTGAAATTAAACCTCCGAAAAAGATATGATGCAGAAGAAAAAGAGACGCACGTTTCGTTTTAACAATTTCTCTCTTTCATACTTACAGTTAGAATCCAGTTGATGGGCACCTTAAGTACCTCCCGGAGGGACAGGAAGTATATAGCGCTCCATATAAGTGTAGATATGAAGGACATTACCACGACGAACAGAAACCAGTGCGTGGCACCAATATATGCTGGAGATGCGCATGCCATACATATTATGCCCAGAACCTGGAAAATTATCAAACATTTTCGTTATCATTTATTACACAGCTGATCTTGAAAGTAAAGAAATTTATCAATCATAATGACAAAAAAAGTACAAGTTATAAAGACTAGAATTCGCATGCGATTGATGGCATTTTTACTACATCGAGAAAAATGTTGGTTTTAATCAAATGGAAATAATTGTTCCAATTTTTTTTCGATCGATTTCGATCGGATTCAAGATTATCCGATAAAATAGAGAACCTCTGAATATTTTTCTCAGTGTGCACGCATTCCAATTTTGTGTGTTTAACATTTTAACATACAAAATTATATCTAAAATATTTTAGTGTATGTACACCGATCATTTCTAGTTTCAACTTAACGGGAATAAAGTATTTGATACAAAAGCAGTTGAGAAAAAATTAAAATTTATTTTATGCCTGTAGATTTATTCATATATGTATAAAGAAAAAGCTTGTTACAAAAGCAGACCATCACTTTTATGTCATTTTGGCAAAATTGATTTACAGGAAAAGAAACAAATTTGACTTATTTTATTTTAGATGCATAATTTATTTTTTCCTATAACTTGTAGAAATTTAATCTATTCCTCGATATATTAACACGTATTATTTTTAATTTTTTTATTATTTACATTTTAATTTTTTATCACTATTATTCTATTATTTTTTATTACTTTATTTACTTTATTTATTCTATTTTCTTATTTTATTTTGCATAATATTATTCTTTAAAAGTTAATAATTTCAATACACTTTTGTGCATTGCAATTATATGCAGTTTATTATTCAAAGAAATTTGAGCAATTGTTAGACTATCTTATCTTATCAACTCACATTTGCAACCTAAATTATCATCGTGTAACATTGAAACGGCAGCCACTCTTTTTGTAAGAAAGCCTCCCGGAAAAGTACTGTATACTCTTATATTTACAAATTTTTCATGTTTTGTAACCGTCCCTTTCCCTTCTTCATAAAAGTGTTCCAATCAAATTTTGGAACGTACGGCTTCTCGGCTATTATCTTTCGCGCCTCATCCCTGACTTTATAAAACTCTTGCAGATATACATCTATCGATTCTTCGTCCTTCTCCGTCTCGCGTCTCTCTTTCGAGATCTCGTCTTTTTCTATAATATCGTAATGCTCGGGAAATTTGAGAGACACAAAGTTATCGAAATGCTCATCCTGAAGGGCGGCCTCGTTCTTTGCTTTGACCATCTTTAGATTCCTCTCTTCAGTTAAACGGACCAACGGCAATCTCTTCTCCTCTAGTTCCCGTGGAAGAAATTTCTTCTTCTCCAAAAGGGCCTTCTTCATTCTCTCTTGTTGACGCAGTTTCCATACAGTGTCCTTGGATTTCGGCATTTTGCGTACTTCTTTTTCAGCCTCCAATCTCAGCCGTTCTTCATGTTCTCTTTGAAGTTTCTGCCTTGCCATTTCAAGTTTCAATCTATTTTCTTCGTCTATTCTCGCTTGTCTTCTAGCGATGGCTGTCGTGTCATTTTCGAAGATATCCTTCTGCCACGAAGAAAACATCTTCTTTCTTCTCACCTCTCGCCATATGTATTCTTCAAACCAGTCCATCCTTTCAAGCGTATCGTCCTCGAATTCCGTCGGTTCCTCAAAAATACGAAAAGTACTGTTGCAATCGCCCGCGCCGATCAACTTGCGACCGTGTTTACACAACTCCTGAAGCGATAAGAGAGTTATCGGTTTTCTAGAAATAGTCTGCGTGAACACCGGCTCGTTCGCCCGCCTCTTGATATCCCACACCTCCAGGTCGCCCGAACTGGTACCCATCAGAAAGGTTCCCGGCCGATTGCCCCAGCAGCACGCGGTGTACACGCAACTGGATTTCCGTCTGAACAAAGGATGGTCCAGATAATCGTCCTTCCAAATGGCGAAGACGCGGCCGCCCATCGTCAGGAGAACGTCCGAAAGATGCGGCGATCGGAGGATCGCCGCAACGGGACCGTCGTGCGCGGACGAGCAATTAACAAGTTTACACTCCTCTAAACCGGACGTTTCCACGTCGAACACCTGGCCCTCCCAAGTGCAGCATGCAAAATGTCCCTGCGCCGTGCCGATCCACAATCTCTTCGTGCAGTCGACATCCGTGGAATCTAATTCGTTACGACGCCTATCATTTTCTTGAAAGGCATCGACGGACGGGAGGCACAGGTGAAGAGGTGTAAAAGACGGGTTCTCGGAAGGCCGTACGTCCAAGCGATACATTGGTCGAAAAATACCGTTAAGATCCTCGCGATCGCTCGGCCTTAGCTGAGAGGTAACGGAGTATCGGAGAAGATCCCAAATGGCGACGATACCGTCCTCGGAAATCGTCAGAAACTGACAGCTCGAGCTGGTCGATAGTTTCGTCAGTTTCCCGGATGGCTCTATCCTGTAATTATCGGGAAGCCATTGTATCCGACGAATCGGCAGCTCGTGCGAGTGATCCCGATCGGATATCACGAACGCGGAGGTGATAGAAACGGTGTCTTGAGACCAAAAATCAACTCCGATATTATTTCGATCGATATCTTCGATATCTCGATCCTCTATCTGCCCGTGAATATTCCAGACGACCACTTGACCGGACGCGGCACCGCCGATTACAAAGTCGCTGTTCATCGGGCAGAAGGAGACGCAGTAGATCTCCTGGTGGCACCACAATGACAGTCGTGGCCGAAGAGAATCGGCGAGGGACCACAGCAACACCGTCGGCATGGATCTCGATACGACGTCACGCTCGACGTTCGACGAGGATCGGCCGATCTCGCGCGACGATGCGACAACGTAAGAGACAGCCACGTATCCGACGAGGCCCGGATGCCAGGAAGCGTCGGAGATAACCTTGCCTGCCGTGAAGCGCAAGTCGACGAGGGAGAAGCGTTCCGCGCAAGTGATCTCATCTCGCGGCCGGGTAATTTGAAACTCTCGCCGCGCGAGCGTCTCGATGTCGTCCACGTGCACGTTCACGACCGTATTGTAACACACGGCCTCGATCATTTCCCGAGTGCGATCTTCCAAGAAGAGCTCCAAGGGACTCTTCTCCGCCGGCCTCTGCTCCGCGTCGATCTCGGACACCTCTTTCGACCCTTCGGCAGTCTTCCTCTCCTCAGACTCTTTCTCGGATTTTTCCCCGGCCGACTCTTTTTCCTCCGCCTCCTTTTCCTCCCCCTCCGACTCGACGTTATCAACTTGCAGTCCCAGAGTGTCCTCGTAAGAGTACTGAGTCCAGGCGTTCTTAGGATAACCGGGATAGGTTTGAACTTCAATTTCCCGCGGCTCGAAGTGCGTTTGGATCATCTTGGAGACGCATTTTCTCTCGACATTCTCGAATCTCTCGTACGGAATTAACTCCACGTAACTGTCCCAAGAGCCTTCCGAAGATCTGTCACAGAGCTGCCGGTTTAGACCTAAAGACTTGGTCGGAAGGCACACGTCCATCTCGAAGAACTCTCTCGTGCTTCCGACCAAGTCCTCATCTACGATCGTCTCGCTTTCGAGATACTTCCAGGATCTGCCGGTCTTCTCGATCGTCTGGATTATCTTGCTTCGGATCTCTTTATTGATGTCGGCGTTCCTCCTCACTATCGCCGATCTCGCGTCCTCCGTCAAGCAGATCACGAAGTCGCGACCGGTCAATTCGGTGGACGAATAGCCCACGAGGAAAGTATCGCCGCCGTAAGCTTCGATCCTGTCTCGATACGGCTCCAGCGACGAGCCCGCGACGCTGGCAAGCCTCAAAACAACTTCTCGCGACACGTACGCCCAAGGATATTCCAGAAACACGTGCTCGCCGACCGAGCAACCCAGTTCCCGCTGAATCTTGGGATCGAGGCTCACATGCTCCACATTCTCGATATTTTCGTCGTGCAGCGTCCAACTCGATCGGTACTTAACCCCTTTTCTCGACATTATTCTCGTAACGCGTTATTGCAGCCCACTCCGAGAGAGCAAATCCAACCGGTGAACGGTTCTAGGCATCGATCAAACGACGCCATGCCTACGGTTTCCAAGAAACTCGCTTTGAAACCGTATAGCGAGGGACATTTTACGCGATTTCCCGGGAATTACGTAGAATTTCTTGGAATTTATAGACGCATTTCTTTATTTCTTCTTCGTCATATTTTTTTTCAGACAAGTCAGACATAATGTATATATAATCGTATTACCGCAACGTTAACGTCACTTTATATTACAATATCGATATTGTATTCCTCGTCGTTTACCGCAACCGTCTTCGAGACGGCTTTACGCCTCAAAAAGTATCTTTCAATCTTTTATTAACGCACGGCCCGTTACGAACGGCAGCCGCTACGTTCATTTATTATACCGCCAAGTCGTAAGCACCTTAGTCGTACAGCACTTTACTTTTAAGTTCTTAGCGGCAATAATGCGGCACGCTTATAGACGGCGTGATCAATGTTGACCTTTCGCGAGCGACCGGCTTAAGCGGCTGCCGTGTCACTAAATATACACGGGTGACTAGAAAACACACTAAAGCGAGGAACGCGTACGCACGTAATGTGCATTCCTGTACACCATATAACGCAGCGATTTTATAATTCGTGAATCTCGTTAGGATGTTGAACTTCACTCGGTCGAAAGAGAAAATTCAAGATGCAACGTAAATATATTGCAGAAATTATGATTCTTTATTGATTTATTTGACATGCCGACTTTAATAACAGGTTGGTCGCATGTTATATCTCTCTTCTAATATTTTTATATAACTTGTAATTTTTCGACAACGGTGCGAGAATTATTTTATCAAGATTTCAAATTTACAAATCTATTTAAAATTTATTAAAGAACAAGCGTTTATTTAAATTTTGAAAAGCTATTTAACTTTATTAAAATTATTAATTCCCATACACAAAATACCACATATTTGTTCATTTTTTCTCGATATTTTAAACACAATAGCACATTAAACAATTAAACAAATTAGTCTGTTATTCTCTTTTAATAAGAAATAATAAAGATAATAAATTAGAATATGATGAAATGTTATTAATAAAAATGTAGAATATAGCCTCAAGTAAAATGTGAAAAAATATACATTGTCAAATTCCAATGGACTGTAATAAAAATAATACATTATAAAACATAAGTTATATATCGTATGGTCCAAGTCGCAGTTCATTAATTACGCACTACAGCTTAAATAGGCGCAATTAGGCTATACTTCGCATGCCTTGTTATAATCATTACGTTAAATATGTGATGCATGACGTAATGGTGCGATACGCTTATAGCACTCGACAAATGTACGAATAGTTTACAAACGACCCATAATTTTCAGCTGAGCATAATTAATATCGACAGAAATGATCAAACATTTCATCAAAATGAGTGTACAAAGCAATTTTTAACTTGTAAAGAGTACTCTCAACTATTCGAAATTCGAATTATTTTGACTTTGCCAGATAAAATTATCGCAACTGTAATACAAAAATAATAAAAATTGTTATACAAACGTTTTTACGCTACAATCTTTTAAATATCGGTTGTTATTCTCAACGGTTGTTATTCGCAACGTAAATGTCAGCATCGTAGATGCAAGAAAAACCGGTGATTCCACGGTAGTTGAGTTTACGAGGTATTCGATTCATTTCTAAAAATAGCAACGTATATTGAAGGATATTTTCCTCCGATCATCATCGGCCGATATGCGATCACATTATATATCGGACGTTATATAAATATTCGAGTCGCGCTGTAAGCTTTAAGTGCGGGGGTCAGTCCAGAGTTTCTCTAATAAGGCACGTTGGTGCTAGATTGCATGATTCACACGTGAAGGTATATCCGCAGTGACCATTTCTGCGTAGTTGCGCGATCATCATCTGAAACGCGATCTGCTGTAACGTATAGGTGTTGCTTTCAAACGTTATCTCATGCGATATGGCGCGCGCATTCAAACTATAGAGTTTCATACGGGGCGCGCGGCGATAAGCGCACTCTTTAACAGTATTTAAGATTATTTGTATATTTCAAGCGTATAACATAATATGCGCTATTTAATTCGTTCAGAATAAACGATCCGTTCCTGTATATCTTAACGCTTGTAACAATCGCGAGGAGGAGTCAACGAACCCTCCCGAAGAGGAAAGGCAATTGCATTCATTCTATATTCGTTCACAACGACACGTCTGTACGATGCCAAGAAAGACGCGTATGTTTTCACCGAGCATCTGCTCGGTTACGCGGAACGAGCGAAATTGCACCAATATGCGAAGCCGGCGTATTATAGAGATAACGCCTGACGGCGTCGTCGTCGACGGGGAATCTCAGTGACCCACATCCGCCGCTCGTACATGCATGCAGTTACTAAACGGCCACCGGTTGCAGCCTACGTATTACGACGGACACGTCGTCCATCCGTTATCGTCATCATTGGCTAATTAATTCAAATAGCATATGACCGCGTGAGGAAGAAAGATGTTGCCTCGCATAGGATTATGTGACTTTAAAGCATTAATTAATAAAAAAAAAACTTCGTAATTTAGATCTTCCAGTCTTCTCTTTGTTTCAATTTATTACAAAGCAAATTATAATTCAGAATAATTTAAATAAAAATATGCAGAGAAGGATGCAACGAGCATAATTGCACGTGATGTAATATTTATATTATATCCTTGAATAAAATTTGATTTCATTGCTTGTTTTCCTCGAAATAAAGAGCAAAAAGCGACCTAATTAAGCAAAATTTAATATTTTATACGGCACAATGGATTATTCGCGTGAGAGAATTTGAAATGAAAATGAGAGGATAAGCACAAATTTTTTTGTTGATGCAAAAAGATATAACTAAGTATATATGCTGATCTTCATTTGTTAAAGTTATGTAAAAATAGCAATATAATATTATATTATTAAGATTATTAAGATTTTACGCACATAAACAAATTTACGTACACCAATAAAGAAATACCGATAAAAATAAATAACGAAGAAGAGAAAGAAAATAAAAAAGTACATTTTTTTCAACAATTAAATTTGTTACTTACACATGGAAATGTTTCTCGTCTCAAATATCTCGGAATATTTATTATTTTTAGGTAATATTTGTTAAATTAAAAATTTTATAAAGAAATTTAAATATGTAAAATTAAACATAGTATAAATAAATATAAACATAGTATAAACATATTAAATAAATGTTATGCTGAATTTAAAATATATTAAAATAGTTGCTTATCAATAAAGAACTAAATGTCGCAATGATAATGAGCGAGAATCGTATTCAGTCGCAATGATTGCTGGCCGTACACGCATTTGATTCGTCATCTTTTGCGGCCGTCCACTCATTAAAATTGCAGAATGGAATAATAGTCAACAATTGCTAATACGAGCGTGTGTATACAGCAATTCACAGCAAACAAATCTGATGGACGTATCAAAACGATTGCGAAGAGAAATAGACATTCAAACGTGCACGTCAAATATTTCGCGTAAAAATAAAATACAGAATTAAATATTACAGAAAGAATTGAAACAATACTGCTTAAAATTCTAATGATTTTTATAATCTACATGATAAAAGATGTAAAAAACGGAAACAGTGAGAAAAAAAGAGTGAAATTCTTTTTTAATGGAAATATTAAATCCAGTTATAATGTTTACATTTAGATAAAAATATCCTTTTATTTTTTATATTACCTAGATTATTGCTATTAAGATTTCAAATAAACAATTAGCAGAGAAGTCATAAGCAGTTAAGAGAAGCTAAATACTTTAATTAAAAACTTTAAAAGATGCTGAATTTATTTTGATAAGTTTCACAATGCATCTGACTTGATCGCGTTAATAATTTATTTGGAATTAATATGAATGAAATAAAAATATTAAAATTTATTTTTTATAGAACTGTGAAAACTACAAATTTTTCATCTCTTAATCAAAAAATTTGAAAATTAAATCAAAACTAGTATGTATAGAATTATGAATATTAAAATTGTAGATGGAAAAATAAATACATTACAAACCCAAGTGTATAATATATGTTTCAGTTTCAGATATCGATATTTATTCTGTTATCTATATTTGATGAATATATGTTTCAGTTCCAGATATCGATATTTATTCTGGTGTCTATATTTGATGAATGAATCTATATTTCATTGAATGTGTAACAAATATAAGATACGTTTTCAATCTCGTAAAATGTTTATTTATCGCCAATTCATTCAACACAAGTACTTGTGAATCAATATTTCCATGTATTACTTAACTTATTGTTTTATATATATATATATATATATATATATATATATATTTTACGTTCCGTCTTGAAAGCTGATTCACGCGCCGATTAACCTTATATGAATCATAAAAAAATTTTGCTTTGAAAAATCCGCAAAGAAAATCTGAATCTGGTCACGGTATTATTGCAGCAGGTCGATAAAGCGGCGCGATATGGTCGATTTCGTAAACGACATTACAACTCTTTTGCGTCTAGAAATAGACGCCGGAAGTTGCGAGCTGTAAAAAACACATTCACGAACGAAACGAGTGTTCTCCGCGTGTGCATTTACACTGGCCGACGGCCAACGAGCACTTTTATCAACGTGATTCTCGAAAATCTCATATATTCCCACGCTGAAAAGTGAAACCACTGATATAGCAACAGGTGGCTAAATATAAACCACGTCTTCAATTCTTTTTAATTTCTGCCGATCGTTCGCTCCCAAAATTTGGCACGAGATTTAGAAAATAAGCATCGTTTACTGTTAAAAATGAGAAGAAGGATTAGCAAAGAGAAGTAGGCGAAGGAATTCGCCGAGAGAGAATTTCTGTAAAACACGCGCCTTCCCGGCGGGCATTCCTGACAGATTGCAAATATAAAATGCCCCCCCGAAGAATGCGCGTGCCACACGTTGTCAGGTGCGTGTCCGATTACGTACCTACATATACAT